ATATATATATATATATATATACATAAAATATTTAATTGAATTGTATACAGTTAAAAATAAGTAACAAAAATGAGCGTAATCAATGAATTTCTTCATGTATTCAGTATTATTATTCATATCAATGGCATAAAGCATGACTACATAATTCATGTGTTTACAACAATTGATATAAAAAATGAGAGAGATAGAATGCGAAGACATAGAACTCTAGAGGTACCATTCTAGAGTAGAACAAAGGTGAGCCATGTTTGATTTAATAACTTAATATCATATTAAAGAATTAATAAGCTTTTTTACTTATTTATTGGCTTATTGATTAAATTTACTTATTATTTATTACTTATTGAATGAGATAAATCATCAGGTTGAACATAGCGGTCAAAATAACCAATACAAAAGTGTCCGCATTCGACTCAGATCAAAAAATTGCGCTACTCTGCAAGTAGATATATCTAGAGCTCTATAACGAAGACGGCCAGTCTCTTTCTATTCAACAGTATAATAACGTTAGAAAAAGATAGAAATTAGTCGTCATACTCTCTCCTTCTCTTTTTTATATACTATTTAGACGACGAAATCCATACACTATGATTCATATTAATAATGCTGATCCTTAATTTTGTCTAGTATAATTAATATCTTATATATATATATAAATTTCATTCATAATATATTTACACTACTTAATTAATTTCCATTTATTCATTGACGTTTGAGACGGACATGAAACTTTAATTTACTGTTTTGACACTCGTTTTACCTGTCCTCGAGAATTTGTATTTACTTTATTCTTTGAATTAATCGATTATATTTGATATTATACAGTATCAAATTTAATCTAATATGATTCGCCATTGTTCCTATTAAATATATCGTTATTTTATACTAAAACAATAGTTATATTTGATACTATACACTATATAGTGTTAAATTGACACAATATACACTGTTAAAAATTTCATGAAATTTAATTTTACTTTTAATCTTTACTCTACTAAGGGGGAGTCACTAGTTTCCTGTTCGTGCAAGTTTCTTTGCGTCTTTCGGTAATTATAAATTATACTACATTTTATTATTTTCCAAAATAAAGTGCCAAGATTTATTCTAGAAAGTTGAAAGTATGTTGATAAATTTTTAGAGATTTTTTTGAAGAGGTCATTCTGAATAAGTGAAAAAACGGACGAATTCTAGTTAGTATAGATGAGGCATTAAATTGTACTTAGTAAGATAAGGGTTAAGTTATTTCATCATAATTTAAACTTAATTTCATGACATTATATTAAATTTAATGTATTTATAACTGAAAAGTATATTTGTGTACATAAAATTTAATATATTTTTAATGTATTTTTCATGAAAATTTATAAAATTTAATGTATACATTCATTACATTTAAGTAACTACTGTAACTTAATTTTCAGTTAAATTAATTTATTACTTCGATTTTATTCATTTACATGTAAAGGAAACTCGTGGTTACATTTCTAACAGTATAGTGTCAAATTTAATTATTGTTTTAGTATAAAATAATGATATATTTAGTAGAAACAGTGACGACTCACATTAGATTAAATTTGACTATAGATTTAACAGTGTATTTAACAAAACTTTTATTCTTGATCTTTTTATTTTTTTTCTATTTTAATATTTAATTTTGCCTGAAGATGACCAAGTAAAGTTAAAACATGTATCTAAGTTGTTTCATTTTGAAAATCTAGTATTGATTTTTGTTATGTATACTTGAATGAACTAATTTTCAAAATTAAACAACTCAGATAAGTTTCGACTTCAGTCATGTTAAATTTTTGCATACTTTAATATCAATCATTAAAAGTTGAAAGAAATATATATCAATTTAAGATATAAAGAAATAATCAAAATCATTGAAAGACATTTAATTAAAAAACAACATTTCTATTTCAAAATACAGAAAAGTATTCTGTCTGTCAAAATTCTTATTTTTTGTATTATATTTTTAATTTCTAAATACTTTCAATCATAAATATTGAT